GGCTTCGCCGGTGACTGTTCAGGTTTCTTGACCTTTTGGTCTTCTACCGGTTTCGGTTTCTCTTCGGGAGCCGGTTTGGCCAAGGGTTGTTCGACTTTTTCTTTCTCAATCAGCTTAGGCTGTTCTTCTGGAACCGACTTCGGTTGTGGTTGTTCAACTTTCTTTTCCTCCACTGCCTTCGGCTTTTCTTCAGGTGTCGGTTTCGGTTGCGTTTCTTCAGGTTTTGTGGCTTTTTGTTCTTCGATTGGCTTTGGTTTCTCTTCTGGAACTGCTTTCACCTCCGGCTGTTCAGGTTTCTTGCCCTTTTGCTCTTCAACTGGTTTTGGTTTCTCTTCAGGAAGCGGTTTGGCCAATGGTTGTTCAGGTTGTTTGACTTTTTCTTCTTCAACCAGCTTAGGCTGTGCTTCTGGAACCGACTTCGGTTGTGGTTGCTCAACTTTCTTTTCTTCGACTGGCTTCAGCGTCTCTTCAGGTGCCGGCTTCGGTTGCACTTCTTCAGGTTTTTTTGCTTTTTGTTCTTCGATTGGCTTTGGTTTCTCTTCTGGAACTGGTTTTATTTGTGGCTGTTCGGGTGTCTTGCCCTTTTGCTCTTCAACTGGTTTCGGTTTCTCTTCAGGAACCGGTTTGACCAATAATTGTTCAGGTTGTTTGACTTTTTCTTCTTCAACCAGCTTAGGCTGTTCTTCTGGAACTGGCTTCGGTTGTGGTTGTTCAACTTTCTTGTCTTTCGTTTCTTCGAGTGGCTTCGGCTTTTCTTCAGGAGTCTTTTTTGATTGTAACTGTCCAGGTTGCTCGACTTTTTCTTGTTCAGGCGACTTAGGCTTCTCTTCTGGAGCCAGTTTCAGTTGTGGTTGTTGAACTGTTTGTGGCTTTTGTTCTTCGAGTAGCACCGATTTACGTTCTAAACCAAGTTCCGGTTGTGTTTCTTTAGGCTCTTTTGCTCTTTGCTCTTCCACTAACTTCGTTGTCTCTTCTAAAGCCGGCTTGGGCCGTGGTTGTTCGGCTTCTTCTGGTTTTTTTTCGATAAATGGCTCAGGTTTCACTTCTGGCGCGTGTTTTAATTCTATGCCTTCAGATGGTTCTGCTTTTTTGTCTACGGCTGCGTTTAGTTCTGGAGCCAGTTGTAGTTGTATTTGTTCAACTGGCTTTGACTCTGGAACTTGTTGCAGTTGCATTTTTTCAACTGCTTCGGATTTTGGTACTTCGGCTGGTGGACGAGTTGGAGTCGGCTGCAGCTGTATTTGTTGAACCGTTTCGACGGTTTGCACTGTGTCTGGCTGCGGTGTTGGAGTCGGTTGCTGTTGTATTTGTTCAACTGGCTTCAGCTCTGAAGTTGGCTGCAATTGTATTTGTTCAACCGTTTCGATTGTTTGTACTTTGACTGGTTGCGGTGTCGGAGTTGGTTGTTGTAGTTGTTCAACTGGCTTCGACTCTGGAGTCGGTTGTGGTTGTATTTGCTCAACTGTTTCGACTATTTGTACTTCGGTTGGCTGCAGTGTTAGACTCGGTTGCTGTTTTATTTGTTCAACCGTTTCGATTGTTTGTGTTTTGCCTGGCTGTGATGTTGGAGTCGGTAGCAGCTGTATTTTTTCAACAACTTCGTCTTTTTGTACTTCGACTGGTTGCGGCTGTGGCTTTTCCCGTTGTGGAACTTTTTCTTCATCAGGTAGTGTCGTTTCTGGTAGCTCGATTCTTGTTTGCTTTTGCTCATCGATGATTTTCATTAGTAATTGTGCCGCATGTGCTACTTCTTGCTCTTGCGTTGGTAAAGCAGACTCTTGTTGTAGGAGACCTGTACTTTCAACAGGTTTTATTTGTTCCTGAACTTGTGTTTTCGATGGTATCTCTTTTGTAGCACTTGTGGTTTGTTCTAATGACGTTTCAAGTGGTTGTGGTTCACCAGTAAGTGGTGCCTCTATTGATGTTACAGGAAGTTCTGGTTCATGAAATTCATCCATTTGTTGTTCAACAGCTACATCATGTTGTAACTTTTCTACTGCGGCAAGAGTGATTGGTTGTTCATGAAATGACGTTATTTTTTTAATTTCGGTTTTTGCTATTTCACCCGTAGATTCTGATTCAGCATCAAAGAATTGATCAGGTTCCATCGAAACAGGTACTGGTGATGCTGTTTTGACGGATTGGACTTTTGTAGTATCTTTAGAAACATCTTGATCGAAAGATACAGTTTGAAAAGTACTTGCTGTCTGTAGTTGAGTCAATGAAGACGTTGGTATAGTTTGTGCAGTATGTTCGACTTGACTGACACTTGTTGGTTCAAGTGCAGCGACGAGAACATCTTGAACGATTTTATCAGGTGTACGTAGCTTATCTCCTTCTGTTGTTTCATCGGGCATTGTTGCCAACGGCAATAAATTCGGTTGTGCTGGAACAGACAAAGATTCTACAGATTCTTTCAATGATTTTTCACCTTTGTCACTTAGAGCAGAAAGAGAAAATTGTTCAGAAGTCACATCACCTAAAGGAAAATAAACAAAAAACATGAAATAAAACTTAGCATAAGTTTTTCAAAATTCAGCAACTCATATCATACCTTGTATTTGTTGAATAGTTTCTGTTGTGAAATCTACTGTAGGTAAACTTTCAAATGGAGCTATATGACTTGTTGCATCTATATATAATAAATAGGAATAATAGACAATGAATAGAAAAGAACTTATTTGATTATTATCTAATAATTAAACTTACCTGCAACACGTGAAATGCCTTCACTTGGTGTCATTTCATCTATAACGATGATAGCTTCAGGTTTATTTTTATCTAAATCTGTTGTTGAATGTGGTATTTCAATATAATCAACAATTTTTTTCGATGTTATTTCGAGTGGTTCTTCAATTTTTTCTGGCACTAATGTTTCCGGTGCTTTTTCTATAGTAGCAGAAGAAAGTATTTCTTCTGTTGTTTGTAAATCACGAGAAGTTGGTTGTGTCAATGAAACTTGATCTAATCGGTTAAGTGATGATTGTAATTCTTCGTTAATACTTTGGTCTGAACGCACAGTTTCGAGTTGATTAATTTGCATAGATATTTCTTTGTCCGTAGTTTGAGGTACCTCTTCGATTGAAGGTACAACTTCACCGACTGTCGGAACTAAAGATGATATATCTTCGTCAGTCGATACCGGAATATCACTAACGATTGATTTCTTAGGTTCAAGTAATTCATCTTCTAAATAAATTGTTTCAATAACTTCATCGACATTCATTGATGTTTCTGGAGAGATTGATTTTTCTTCTTCTTCTTCTTCTTCTTCTTCTTCTTCTTCTTCTTTTGGTACAGAAGGTATCATTTGACGACGTTGACCAATCATTGTTGATTGTGTTTCATCATCGCCTTCGATAATTGATGTACGACTTTGAATAAGTATAGGTTGTTCATGTAATTTAGGTGGCATTTTAAGTAAACGTTGTTGTTGCAATTGAATTTCATATGGTAATTCAGCAAATTCATCTTCTGCAGGTGCCAATGACAAATCGGAGATAACTGCTGGTCGATATGTTTTATGTCCTTGTTGTTGTTGATAACCTTCTACTGAAGTTAAAATTGCTTCATCATGTTCAGTTTCACTTGCTAATACAGATGGAGTGCTAAATAAAGTAGCTGATACTTGTTTAAGATTAGTTGATAGTTTATATTCAACTGATTGTGATTCTTCAGCTTGAGGAAATTGTTCTATATTAATAGCAGTTTCATCAAGTGATGACAAATCAATATCTTTAGATCGTTGTGAAATATCTAAAGCACGTTGTTTTATTTCATCAGATAATTCTTGCGCAGTCGCTTGATGTACTTGACTAACATTAATAGGAACTTCTTGTGCTGGTTCTTCTATACTAAGAGTAGAAGTATGTGTGCGAATTGAACCGATTGATGGTTCAATATCAGCAGGTGCTTTATATTGGATAGATTGTGGTGCATCTGGACGATGAATTTGATCAACATGAATTGAAGTTTCATCAAATATAGATAAATCTGTCGCTGCACTTAATTGCATTACTGATGATGCTTGTTGTTGAATTGTGTCATGTACAGAGACATCTTTAGCTATTGGTTGACGTAATTGACTAATATTTACAGGTGTGTCATGTGCTAGTTCTTCACTAATAAGACCAGAAGCTGTTGTAAGAATAGTACCAACTGATGGTTGAATATCAGCCGGAGCTTTATATTGGATAGATTGTGGTGCATCTGGACGATGAACTTGATCAAGACGCACAACTGCTTCATGTAGTACCGGTAAATCAGTAATAAGACTTGGTTGTATAATTGTTGATACTTGTTGTTTTTTTGTTTCGGAAACAGGCAAATCTTGAGCAGTAGATTGAATAAATTGAGTAATATTAATAGCTGTTTCTTCTGCTGGTTCTTCTTGACTAAGAGCAGAAGTTGTCGTAAGAATTGAACTAGTTGATAATTGAATATCAGCAGGAAGTTTATATTCAATTGATTGTGATAATTCTGGTCGTTGAAGTTGATCGAGATGAAGAGGACTTTCATCAAGTATAGAAAAATCAATAGTGACACTTGGTTGTGAAATTGATGTAGCTCTTTGTTTAGTACCTCCTGATTCTTGATGACGTATATGACTGATATTGATAGGTGTTTCATGAATTTCCATATCATCACTACTCATAGCCAATGCACTAGTTCGTAATAGAGCAATTGGTTCTTGTTTAATATCGATTGGTGCTTTATATTCATATGATTGTGGTATTTCAGGTAGACGAAATTGATTAAGAGCAATACTACTTTCATCAAGTAATGGAACATATGGACCTACTTCAGGTTGTTGTATAGTATCTACTTTGTCCGATGTTCGAATTGAACCAATAGATAAACGTTGACGTAAAGGATGTGCAATATGTTGTTCATCTTCATATTCATTAGCTGATGTTGATAAATGTGAAATACGTGAAGCTTGACGAAATGATGGTAATACAAAAGTATCATGATCAGAAATTACATCTGACCATTGTTCAACACTACTAAGAGCTGTATCAAGTGCAATAGGTACTGAAGTTATAGTTTGTGATTTTTCGATAACAGTTAGATTATCATCTGTTGGTCGAGTCAGTTGTTGTTGTTGTTGTTGAACTCTTAAAGCAGTTGTTTGCGGAATGTCCTCACGAATAGATTTCGGTACAATATCGCTTAATAACGATGGAAGTAGCAGATCGAATTGAATTTGATCGGCTGATTTCTTTTCCTGAAAAATAAAATGAAACGTAATGATTCAAATTTCCACTAAATCATATATATTAGTCAATACAAATAATCGAGTATTTAATACAAGAATATTAGTTATACTATGAAATGATCAAATTTGTTAGTTATGCTTTGAAACTCTGTTAGTTGTTTGATCATTCGACAATAGGCTTTTTCTTCCTGTGTTTATACGACAGCATGGCAAAGTCAATACATTAATCAAATGAAGTATTTTATTACATTGATTGAGGAGAGAAAAATAATCTTTCGATAAGATGACAACGTTTTCACACAAATACAATGTTAACTTAGATCATTTGTCTTAATAATTTTCTGTACAACTTATTCCTTCATTTATCAATAGATTATGACAGTCAACAGATAATTTACAGCATCGGGTTAGAATCAAAATTTCGTGGTTTTTTTTCACATACATATGTTCGGAATTTTTGTGAAACTTATAAGTTAGGAATTATAAGCCAATCTTTGAAAATAAAGTTTGGAAGGGTTTCTGTGAACATAAAGATTATTCAAGGTAGAAAGAAAATTTATTAAAAATATACTAAAAGCAGGAGCATATATTTCTTAATTTTTTCTAGAAGTTCCAGGTTTTCGGAAATTTGATCTCAAACTTTCTACATATAGAGAACTTAATTAGACTATTCATAAGTTTTGAATAAAGTCTCAATATGCACAAAGTGTCAGACCAAAATTCCAAAAACTTGCGAGCTCTAGAAAAAAATTCGATAACTTATAGGAACTCAAATCCTATAAGTATTTCGATAGTTTATCCTTATATTGATTCGAAGAAAAAATATAGAAGAACTAATAACAAAACAGTAAGGCTTACAGGTTGTAATTGTTGTTGATCCATCGTAATTTTTATGTCAACATCTTCAATTTTATATGTATCTCCAGTTTGAATTTGTTCACTTAATAAATTTTGTTTAATCTATAACAGAAAATCAAAAGAATACAATATGATTTCAATGAAACAAAAAACAAAATTTCTTACAGGTAAATCTGTTGATTGTTCTTCAATTAATGATAATCGTGGCGTCGGTGGAATAAATTCAGTATGAATAATAATTTCTTCTGTTATTTCACCAGGTAGATGAACTTTAAGAGCTTCATCTCTTAATGATTCATCTAATGGCATATGATGCATCATTGATATACGTTTATGAAATGGACCCATTAATTGTAAATGACTCTCATCTTCAAGATGTTTCTTTTTAATAGGTGGTTCTTCAAATGCTTCTTGATATTCTAAATATAGATATATAAATATATATATATATATATTTAAACTAATTAAAAACAAATATATTTACCTTGTTGTTCGTCATCAATATCCTCCTGATCGACACTAATATATGTTTGTGTCATAGCTTGTCCATAAACATTTTCAACTTGAAATAGATATACACCTTGTAATTCAGGTGTTATAGAATCAATAGTTAATGTTGATGAATAATTTGTATTAACTATTGATCCATCTTGTATTAGTTGTGGTGCAGCATCACCTATATGTTGCACTTGCCATGTACAATGACATTGTACTGATGGTGAAAAATATTCAACTTGAAGTTGTACTCTATCACCAGAACGATATCGATAAGTAGATAGAAGAGGTTGTGTTATTGTTGGTGGAATAAAACGATCAAGAGATGTTGCTGATGACCATGAATCACCAGCAGTTAATCCTCGTTGACTTATTTGATCAGGTTGCTCCTCCTTTTCAGTAATAAAGCCTAGAATTAAAAGTATAATATTTTTTAATTATTATATGAAGAATAATTTAATTGAAATAAGAAATATCAATAGGTTATATTTTATTTAATGTTAACAGAGGAAAAAATAAAGACAAAATGATATTCTCAAAGATTGTAACCATTGCATTAACAATTAAGTAGTTGCCCTTTCCGAAATAGAAGGTCTATATAAACCAGTAATTAAAGGTTATTAACGCTATTCTATTTCCATTACATGAACATATATAATTTTTAAATACAAAGAATGTGATTTGATCCAAATCACATTGAAGAAAATATTAAGATTGTCTTAAATACATAATTATCTATGTTTTGATATTTCGACACGAAAGAAAATAATAGTATAGTAGATTAAAAAAATTTGGCTTGTAATTACAGCTATAGTAATTTGTGTGTTGTTTTGTTCATGTGTCGTTATACTTATCTGTTTAGGAGGAAGGAAAAGAAACACAACAAAACAACAACATGCCAATCTTTAACAGACGTAGAGACAACGAGATTATTATATATGATGACTCATTCGACTATAATTAAGAATTATCTGAAGATGTATCTAACAACATATTTGCAATCAAAAAGGCAAATCTGTTGTCGTACAATGATTTTGCTGTATGTGTTGTTACACTATTTCATTAACCAGTCTTTGGCATCATCTTTTTTACTAATGAATGAATCATGTTGAAATAGATACTGCCTGAAAACTATAACAAATTCAATAGAATAGTATTCCATACGGTATTATTAATTGAAAAGTAAAGGCAACTATACATCCTCAAGAACATATATATATATAAATCTAAATAATAGTTTGAAATCTAACATATTCTAAAGTAATGAAATAGTTTAGTCTATTCTCAATTGTTTTTTTTAAAATATGAACTCACTGTCAACAAAGAGATAAGCACTCGATTCATCATGATATTTATCATGATCATAACTAATATAAATCGTATAAACTCCTTCATCTTGTTGTTCACATTGTCGAATATCCATCCAATAAAGATTCTCTTCTTGTATTGAATCAAATCGATATCTTGAATCATTGTCGCTTGTTATACGTATATCATTTAAACGCCATTCAATATTTAATAAAGATCGATCAATTTGAATATTTGAAGATGTTGATATTAAACGTATTTTAGCTTCAAATCTTGCTGAATCACCATAACGTACAGTAACAGATTTAAGTTCTTGTTCAAAACCAAATAATATTGGATCATTTCCTTTATTTCCATATTGTTCATCAATATGAACAAATTTTGGTACACGGTCTTCATCGGATGCCATCGTTAAATATTAATGAGACACCCAACCGAATAACAAAAACAAATATCAAATACTGTGTAGCAAACTTATATGATGATGATGATGAATACAAAATGTACTAAGAGGCAGAGAAAAAAAACCGTTGCCGATTATCTACCAATACTGCCAACGTTAGATGAAAAAAGAAACTGACAAACTCAATGTTTACTTGGTCATTGGTAGGCAGCTGTAGATATGATATAATCATAGAAAAGAAAATCAACAACGATGCTAAATTTGTAGAAAGAACAAGAACAAGAAGAAGAAAAAAAACGGAAAGATATATATATATTGCTAGAAGTATTGTAGAGTCATAGGTTGAGAAGCTTTTTCCTCTTTTTTTTCCTATTATCGATAGTTTAGACTTGTGTTCTTTCTTTGCTTTGTCAGTTAATATTGATACGGAAAAGAAGGAAGGTGATGACCGATCTATATACATATTGTAGAAGAGTATGCATAGAACACAAGAATATATATATATATATATATATATATATACACACAACCATAATTTATGCTATGAAAGGCTAGTAAGGACAAATGCTGTTGATAGACAATGCTGGTTTTCTTTTTCTCTATTGCTCATGTCAACGTTGATGGCAACATAGAGAAGTTAATGACAATAAATTTTTGTAGAAGGACAAAGATAAGTAGGCGTAACAGTTGGATACTGATAAGAGCTTTGATCATATTACTGGTCACTATACAACCAGTTAATTTATCAATATGTTATCGAATAATAATGATGCTAATAGACGTTGTCAATCCATCAAAATTAATAGTGAACGATTTTATGTAAGAAAATTAAAATCACTCTTTCTTTCCCAATGGTATCTATAGATGCCATTTTGTAAAAGCTTTTTTTTCTCTTGAACAAAAAAACATATAGAAACAGACTTTATATCAAATTATGGTTTATGTATTGTAGATTCTCAAGTAATAGTTTCGAATCGTTTGACAAATTGAAAGTATAAATTTTTCAATTTTTTAAACTTTTGTAGATTTAATGACCTTTGCCAGATTGAAGAGTACATAGAAGATGCGGTATAAGTAAAGAATATTGGTACTTGACAGATTTGCTTCAAACTCTTCCTATATATATTAGAGACTATGATATTGACGTTACTGAACGAATTTCGGTTTGAGGTCTTCAAATTAAACTATGAGAAAAAAAAAGGGTTAAATTAAAATCATAGATAGAATCAATCGATATCAGATAAATATCTTTAATCTTAGAATAAGATATGAAATTAGGATATACATATATATGTTCACTCATTGAAAACAATATACTATTATGTAAGTGAAGTATTATCTTATATACAAGATCATAATCTTCTTTTCATACAACGATCAAAACTAATGTATAACATATATAATGTTATTTTGCAATATATATATTATATAAACTAATTATTTTTAAGAAAAATGTAAAGAAAAAAAAAACAAATTATTTTACCATGTTGTGATTGTTGTCGTACATCTTCAATAGTCGTTGTAGTTCCACTAGATAAATCAGCAATACGAGCATCTAATTCATCAACAAGACGATGTGATTCTTCATATAAAGTTTTTTCATCTACAGATCGAGATGATTGTAATTCTGTTATATCTTCATGATCACTTGGTGGACTTGATGCAAATGATGCTGAAGATATTTCACTATCTACTTCATAATGATAATCTAGAAATATAAAACTATTAGAATAATATTCTTTATTTTTATTATACATACGTGTTACATTAACCGTAGTTGTTGTACTGATTTTTTCTTGTTCATTATTTGCTTCACATCGATATATTCCACTATCATTTGGATAAATATCGTGAATAGTTAATGTTGATTTACCCGTTAAAGAATCAAAATAAATCTGACGTGTATGTTGTTGTTTATCATTTATTAATATTTCTTGTTCATCTTTAAACCAACGAATATATATTGGTCGTCGTCCATGTACAATACATGATAATTGTATTGTATCACCATCATGACATGTTATTGGTGTTGATGATAAAGGTTTAATAAAATATAAATGAGTTGATAAATCATCTTCAGGCATAGGTGGTAATTGACGATTTAAAATTTGAACTTGACATGTTGATTCTGCTTGACCATGTCGATTTGAAATAATTAAACGATAAATTCCTGTATCATTAATTATAGTTGGATCAATTATCATAAAACAAATACCAGTATCAGGATTATAGTGACGTCGAGTACGAGATTTATTTTCAGATATAATTATTTCATTAATTAACCATTTTATTTGACATTGTATACCAGCCATAACTTGACATGATAATAATAAACGTTCACCTTCTTCACATTCAATTTTTGATGGAAGTAATTGAAAAAATACTGGACACATGCCTAATGATCCAGTGCCAGTATCAGAACTACTACTTGTATCAACATTTTTCTCCATTGGATGTGTTAAAAGTAATGAATGTGCACGAAGAACTTGTTCAAGATCACCAGCCGATACACTACTACTTTCATCTGATGATGACGATGGAACTATTTCTGGTATTGGTGGAAGTAATGTGTCAACTTCACTTGGTGAATGATTCTAAAAATTTTAAAAAATTCGTTTTGTTGTTTTTTCTATGATACAAAAAAAAAGAAAGATTTACTTTTTGAAAAGTTTCTATTTGCTCACTCCACTTCACAGTTTTTGCTGTTTCTGTTTTATTATCAATTGAAGGTACTCTTTGATCACCAATTGTTCGAAATGGTGATTCAACAGGACTAATTGTTAATGGTTGATAATATTGATTTTGACGATCATTTGTTATTTCATCAATACGAAAACGTTTTGGTTCTATTGGAAGTATTTGTTCTTGTCGATCATCATCTGTACGTTTCTTTATTTCAGTTATCAAACGAGAAGATATTGTCTATAAAAGAAAATTTAAAAATAACAACAACAATTCAAAAAAAAAAGATTTAATTTTAATAAATAATTTACTTCATCAGTTGATAATGGTTCTTGTTCAATTTGTTTAATAATAACTTCACATGATGATGATACCTGATAATATGCATTCGATGCATGACATTCATATGTACCTTCATGACGTTGTTTTGTTGTACTTTCAATAGTTAATAAAGCAATAAAATGTGCTGGTAATGTATCATAAGATGCATGAAATAGACCACGATCATTTTCACCGGTTATTGTTGTTGTTATAAATGATGATGATGGAGTTTCACTACAAACAGCAATTAATTCTCCATTTCTATACCATTCAAATTTATCAATATGAAGACCAGCAATACGACATGATAATTGTAATGATGTATGTTCAAGCGATATTGTTGGATCAAGTAATGGTCGATCAATATGTAATTCATACCAATTTATTGGAAACATGTTTTCATCAATAAGAGATTTTTGATTATTTGATATTAAGAATATTGTACCCGATTTATCTTCATCTAGACAAGAAAGAAATAGATTTATCGTTTCCTTTTTTTCCTCTTTTTTTTGGACTATATTCGACAATTGGTTGTCAATCGTCAGATGTACTCAGTATATTATCGCTGCAAAAAAAAACAGATCTTTTTTGGGGTCTCTAGATTTTTCCTTATGCTTTTTTTTTCGCGGAATCAATTTTGTTGTTCTTTCACAGCATGTTATAATATACTATGTATGCAACGTCGCATGGATAACATGCGTATGTATCTGTATATGCCGTAACACATTACCACCATCATCGAGAAGAAACGAGAAAGTCAAAGATAGTATTATGGAACAAGGAATGTTCGTTGTTAACATTATGTATTATCAACAGAGCATTATACGACAGAACAGTATGGGGAAAGAAGGACGCTAAAAAAAAAGAGACAAAGATAGAATATGCAGAACTCAATGCGCTACCAAATATACTTCTGTTATCGTTTGTAAAACGTTTCTGAATGACATCGAGGTTATGAAATATATATATATATATATATACGGTGCATCGACAACTTTTTATCCTTCTATGTAAAGACACTAATAAGAATTAAGAATGATAGTTTTTTTTTATAACTCAGTATCATTGTTTTCTTCCAATACATCCACATTTTAAATTTAGACAAGGTTCTTACCTTCTGGCTTTACACGCCCACCCATATGAAGTACAGGAATTTTAGTCCAAGATTTATCCTCTATAATGAATCAAATAAAATAATAAAAAAAAAAAAGAAATTCTTCAATCTTACGATTTTCAATTTTTAATTTTATTTCTAATATTTCAACAAAATCATCTATACTTGTTGCTTCACAACAATATATACCATAATCTGAATAGAGTACAGAACGTATATGAAGTGTACATTGTCCAGTTGTTGGTCGATATCGATGCCATATACGAAAACCTTTTGCTTCAATTAGTTCACCATTGGCATACCAAGCAATGGATTTAACACGTTGATGACGAACATAACATTCAAGAAGCACATTATCACCTGGACGACATACAAAAGTTTCTGAGAGACGACTTAAAAACAGTTCACCAGTATCAGTTTGTGATGTTGCCATTGTAGAAATATATGCGTGTGACTATTGCAATGGCAAGACTGATTATTCTTCTAATCTATACGATCTATAAAGATGAGAAAGCAGAAAGAAGAAGAAAAAAAAAGTGTGAATAGATTGACGCTAACGACAATAACAAACAGATAATAGAAAATGTCATTGTATAAAGAACATCGAAGAAAGATCACACATACGTATAAATATTTCTCGAACAATAATCACTTGTTCTCTAACATGATCATATTAATAGAAAAGATTGATATGCCAAGAGTTATCTAACAAGAAAGGAGTGAACCGTACCCGCCTACATGATCTCTAATTCACTCTCTCTCTTCCTATACTAATATCTTACTGTACAATATTTTATCGTATATAAGTGTGATTATGTCCTTGGAATGGATGTCATTCTTCTTCTTTTTTTTCTCCTATGTGATTTGCTTGAAGAAAAAAACAGAATAT